CAGCAGTTAGAATTAGTGAATCTTGACTGCGAACATAGACATTGTTGTTGTTGTTAAATGCCATCGAGTCGGTTCCGACCCATAGCGACCCTATAGAGGGTTTCCAAGGAGCAGCTGGTGAGCTTGAACTACGAACCTTGCAGTTTAAACAGCTTAGCAGTCTGGCACATTAACCCACAGCGCCACACCAGGAACACAGACATTAGGGGCTCAATTTCAACATATGTCACATTTCATTGCAAGATGACAGGACATGACTGAAGAGGAGGAAGAGCTAAGAGGACTCTGAAGTGGTGAATATGAGGAAGAAGCAAAAGAACCATGTTAGAAAATAAGAGAACATATGAGATTTTCTGAATTATGTTGGAGTTCCAGGAAGACAGCACATTTTAGAGGGGAATTAGCTTGCTTGAAAGCAGGAAGCAATTGAGTGTGGAGTTTTGCTTTTTTTGTTTTTTTCCTTATTGGAGAAAGATCCTTACAATCCTACAAATGGATAGGGTTGGAGCAACCAGAATAGCTATTGCTGGAGTAAACAAACTTGCATGTTCCCTATGTAGGTTCTGCATCAGGCAGGACCACACAAACCTATTCTAATCAGTGCTGAAGTAGACTGAGACATTTCCCTTGCATACTGAAGGTGCTCTCCAAGTGATTTGGAGGACACATTTGGAGGCTTTTAAGCATGTGCCCTACTTGATAAGGTGCCCTGTAGAGAAAGAGAATGAAGTTCAGTGCTTATCCTATAGCGCCACACCAGGACGCCGGTGAGAGAGTTGCCTTTCTATTTAGGAGAGGGCTAAAACTAAAGCTTCCACACAACCAGACAGTTCTTAAAACAGACCTTGAGGAAGTAAGTGACAGAATGCAGTGGTTCTCCGATAATAAAGAATTCTTGCAACAGAAGAATTGATGCAATGATAATTTAACAACAACAAACTCAGTAGTTTCATATTACAAAGCATCTGTTGCTAAGAGCGAGACTCATTTAGAGGCATGGCAAGTGTAAACGGGAATTCATGAACTTGGCTCTGTGGTCTGTGGGTTTTGCGCGCCCCCTCGTGGTCGCCACACCCTGGCCAAGGATAAAGCTAAAGAAGCGAAAGCGAAAGCGACACAAGTCGGGAAACGCTGGGTGATGAGGGGAAAACCAAATAGGGGTAGCTGAAGCGGAAGATCTCAGAGCTTAATGATCAGTCCCTGATCGAAGGCCTCCGGAGCTGCAGTCCCCACGCCGGCTCCGGTGAGTTCGTGGGGATAGAAAACGAGTAAGGCCGGGGACGCCTCCCTATTCGCTTTACGCGTCCCGCTTCCCGATCTTCTGGACCCTCTGGACGTTGTGGAATGGAAGGGCGCGAGCAAAGGACCGCGGGGCTGTTTGGAACTCGGTGGCGACAGGCGGCGGTTGGGGTGGATAGAGGGATAATCGGGAAAACTTTTTTTTTTTAATGGACGAAATTCCTCATCTCCCTTTTTTGCAGGCAATATGACATTTTGTAGTAGGAAGGAAGTACTACTGATTGAGCACGGGGTACCCAGGGGATCTTTCAGCTGGCGGGGATGGGGTGGGGTGCTGGAGTGGTGATGGTAGGGACAATGATTGGGGTTCCATTTCCCAATTTAGTACTTTCTTCCTGGGTGGCACAGACGCCTTACATCTGCTACTAATGGAAAGATTGGCAGTTTGAACCCACTTTAGTTTATGGAAAGATTGTTGTTGTTGTTGTGAAGTGCCGTCGAGTCGGTTCCGACCCATAGCGACCCTGTATAGGGTTTCTGAGGAGCAGCTGGTGAGCTTGAACTGTCGACCTTGCAGTTCAAACGGCTTTGCAAGCTAAGAAAATCCTATGGAGCTCAGTCCTACCCAGTTACATATGCTTTTGTTTTTCTTGTCTCCACAAGATCAACGATGCCGCTCCCTGACCTGAGGCCCTGGATCTGCCTGCTGCTGCTGGACTCGGCCTTACTCTGGCTGCTTCAGGGGATTTTGGGGGCTCTGCTTCCCAGAGGGCTTCCAGGACTATGGCTGGAAGGAGCAGTGAGACTTGGAGTTCTGTGGGGGCTGTTTAAACCGGGAGGGCTGCTGGAATTTGCCGGGACACTGCTGCCTCTGCTCTGTCTGGCGATGCCCCTGTTTTTCTCACTAAAGGCCCTGGTCCCAGAGGCCTTAAGTACACCCTTGGTCAGAGTGACTTCAGCCCCTTGGAGCTGGCAGCTGGCCTGCTATGGGGCTGTGGCACTAAGCTGGGCCTTGTGGGCCGTACTCAGCCCTCCAGGAGCCTCCACCTCTGCCCAGGAGACTAAGCAGGGCCAGGAGAACAAAGCCTTGATGTGGAGGCTGCTGAAGCTTTCCAGACCAGACCTGCCCTTCCTCATTGCTGCCTTCTTCTTCCTTGTTATGGCTGTCTGGTGTGAGTAGGGAGAAAGCATGCAGGGTTGGAGCTGGGAAACGGTCCTTGGCGCTAGCATGTTTAGCTTTTATCCTTCATGTCTTTTTAGGTGAAACATTCCTTCCTTACTATTTTGGCCGTATCACTGACATCCTGGGAAGTGACTTTGATCCTGAAGCCTTTGCCAGTGCCATCTTTTTCATGTGTCTATTCTCCTTTGGGAGGTAGGTAATGGGTAGTTGAGTCCATTTGCTAGCTCCAAATCTTTATGTGGTTGTCAGCTGCTGTTGAATTGGCCCCTAACTCTTGGTGACCCCATGCACAGGGGGAAGAAACAATGCCCAGTTATGCACCAGCCCCATGAACATTTCTGGATCAGACCAGTGTGATTTTCAGGGTTTTCATTG